AGAAGAAGAAGAAGAAAAGAAGAAGAAGAAAAGAAGAAGAAGAAGAAGAAGAAAAGAAGAAGAAGAGAAGAAGAAGAAGAAGAAGAGAAGAAGAAGAAGAAGAAGAGAAGAGAAGAAGAAGAGAAGAGAAGAGAAGAAGAAAAGAAGAAGAGAAGAAGAAGAAGAAAAGAAGAGAAGAAGAAGAGAAGAAGAGAAGAAGAAGAGAAGAAGAAGAGAAGAAGAGAAGAAGAGAAGAGAAGAAGAGAAGAAGAAGAGAAGAAGAGAAGAAGAGAAGAGAAGAAGAAGAAGAAGAAGAAGAAGAAGAAGAAGAAGAAGAAGAAGAAGAAGAGAAGAACAAGCATCACTAATTTGTCACCATTATTGGCTTTGTTATTGAATATGCAATAGTTCCTTTGCAGGCAACCTCAGTGCACTGCATGAGTAATTAGGACAACAGAAGAGTTAACAAAATATTTCCTTTAAATCACAGTTCTTTTTGTAAACTTTTGCTTCCAAATTCAAATTTCACAAAATTATTTTCTTAAAATAAATATTTTCAAAAACATTTAATAACTTTGGAAGTATGAAAAAATAAAAAATAAAAAAATTAAAAATTATCATGTTTACTACTGCAAACAATTTTTTTATTTATGAAGATGGATTAGTATCTAAGAAAAGTAATATTTTGATGTAACATTTTTGTTTCCAACAACAGATTTAAAGAAATAATATAAAGTTGAAAATGGCAATGCTGGGACAATAGACAGGTACTAAAAGAAGATACCCAGCCTTAGGCAGTCTTTAGACACCAGAATAATTAACTCACTCATGAGGACATAATTTATTGTCCCTCTGAAAACTTATTCCAAGTAAACTATCATACCTGGGGTTCCTGTTCAGAATTGTGAAAATGTACATACTTGCAAATAATATCATTTATTTAGAAATACACATTTTTTCAACACTGGAGGAAACTGCTGACACTCTGGACTGAATGTGTAATATCATCCAAAAGGCTACCCCTGCACAATCAAGGCATACCTCCCTGACCATATAACACCTGCCTTCAGTTCACATTATGATTGATTAAGCACAGGAAGTACACAAGTTCAGACCTCTTTAGAGTACGTAATTTATCACGTTGTTCCTCAAATGTTAAACTTTTACCTTAACACTAAATTATTTTTCTGAAGCTACATACCGATTTCAGACCTTCCATTTTTGGTTCTTGCTCACAAGAAGGAACCCATATTTTAACATCATCATCCAAACCACTAGTTGCTATAACAGGAATCTGAGGGTGAGGCTCCAAGCAATTTACCTGGGCATAAAGAGAAGTTTAAAAGATTGGCATTGTAATAAATCAACAGAGTAAGGGTAAGACTGGAATGTCATTGATTTAAATCAAATTATATTTTTTAAATCAATGATTTAAATCAATATTTATTATTTGTAATATTTGAAAATATATTTGTATTTTAAATACAAATTACTCAGGTAAAAACACTTACATTAATTACAAAGTTGATGTTAAGTATATATTATATTTCTTATAAAAGTTTTCACATAATTGAACTATTTTGAGAAAATAAAATTCAATATAATATATAATAAAATGAACAAAATTATGAAACTAAGAACAAAACAATTTGTAGTAGAGTTATGTACTAATATTACTTGTTGCTTAGATGACTAGTTTTATCCAGCATTTAATTGTCTGAAGATGAAAGCTAATTTAGTGGCAATACCGCCTTTACACACACCAAGCTTGTTACGAGAGAAACACGTTTAAAGCATGAATGGTGTCCACAATTCTAGATTTGTATTAAAATGTTTACTAACGCCGATTAAAGTACATCTTAAAGATGATGAGTAATAATAAAAATGGAATTTGATTAATACTCATTTTAAGAAGAAAATTAATATTGTTAAAACTAATGAAAATAATAGATAATCTTACTACTTTTAATAATATAAACCTTTTTCTTTATGTGTATATAGATAAAATTCCATTTCATGTGGGAAGCATACTTCCCACTGGCCATTTAAGGGTTAATGAGAAAGAGTGCAAGTAACAACCATTATACCCCATATTTTTTTTATAACAGAACCGCTATTAAGTAGAGTTAAATATTTCAAAAACTGTCTAACATTGTTATAAATGTTTTGATGACTTCAGTTGTTTTCAATAATACATGCTTTTTGATTAGGGCAGTATTCCACTAACAAAATGGTAAAATTTCTTTGAATGAAGAATGCCTTTTTTCTAAATCATGCTAATAGATGGAGCCACAAGCTTATTTGGTAATGTGGGCGCATGAAAACTACAAGTAAATCAAATTTAAATATGTTGTGGGTTAGGACAGTAGAGCACCTGACCCCTCAAATACATAGTATCTTTATTTTTTAAAATAAAATTACAAGAATTTAATGATTAATTTAAAAACGGATGTTTAATACATTTTTTCTGCTTTTAAAGTAAGGATAAATAAATTATCTTCCTATACCCAGAAGATGTATTTCAGAAAACTCACACTTTGACCATTAACATTTTAGTAAATGTACATCCATTTAACACACGAGAAGCGGTTAGTGATTTTCAGCTATTTCTAAACAAAATTTACCCTTCTTGCTTAGGAATAACTGGTACCTCACAAACAATATTAAGTACAAAAAAAGTTAAATACCAAAAGAAAACAAACTTGACATGCATCTTTTATGATTAGAAAGGTAGAACAGGCATTCTATTCTTTACAAATAATTTAAGCTTGTAGAACTACCACAAGAAAAAATAATTCACTAAGATGGACTTTTAAGAGATTCTGGGTCTTTTACTTTTACATCATATACTATAGTAACAAGAAAGTCACAAAAAACACATTAAGTAATTCTATTATACAAAAGTCTCAAAATTAATATTACAAACTTCTGGAACTTGAGGCAAGTGGTAGATCAAGTGTGATCACTTTTTACCAAAGAACATATGGTTGAAACTAATTTGGAAATGATTTCACTTTCACATATTCTTAGAAAACATTTTTTTAACAGACAGTTTGTTTAACAGACATTTCCAAATTAAGTTCTAACTCTATTGGCCCTTATTGGAGTTAAATTTTAGATTATATTGTATTAAAAAAATCTTTCTAAATGTTATATTACACTATTTGTTATATTATGCTTAGTAATATTTTATAATTATAACTGAATAATGTGTGTTTATATATACTTTGTTGTTGGTTTTTTAAAAATTATTTACAAGTTATCTAGACTCTTTGTTGATGTACAGAACTTTGATTTTAGTAAATGATAAGTTACTACTTCTACCTTTTTTGATGAAAAAGTTAAGTTAACATAAGAAATTGATATCAAGATACAGTAATTCTTATTGATCGATATCCACTATAAAGTAGTAAGGGCATAATGTTGTCTAGATACCAGCTTCAAGCATGCAAGAGGAAGTGTCCAGCCAATCGAATTATTGTCGACTTATGTAAGACTGTGAGCAGTAGTTATAAACAGAATGAAGAACATCTACCGTTCTTACTAGCCTGCAAAACTTCCAGAGTGTTATCGAAGTTTGTCACGAATATAAAAATCAGCAGTTTGATGACGATTCTAAATCCACAGATATAAAAATTCAAACTATGAACCTTACAAATTAAGGTGCTTTCATTGATAATTTGGGACCGGTTTTCCAAAAGATATCACCTTAGCACGGTTTTGAATAAATTGGAAGAAAAGATGAAGTTATTTATGTCAAGGGAAGATTTAGACTATTTTTGACTCACAATGTGTTCTTTTAAAAAGGATGTATAATAGGCTTGACGATTTGAAAGACAAGTAGTATGCCAATTTGCTTAGAACAGATTTTAATTCTCGTTTTCAGAAAAGTGATTCTCAGGAGAAAATGAGTCTTACAAAAGTTGTCAATCTCACAGATGTACCGCTTCCTGACAATGTAAAACGTACCCTAACATTAGGCCCCAATTTTAGTTTCCCGCTCATGTGTTTTCATAGAGATTTAAGTTTGTAGACCATCAAGGGGATTGAAACATCCATTTTTCAGGTGCCTGACATACACAGGAAATATTTGGCTATTCCGAGCTATCTGATTAAGGCAAGGATGACCTTAAGCATCTCGTTACCTTTTGTAATTACATAGGGATTTCATTAGAACACAGCAGTATTTTAGGGACAATAATGATTTGACTGTCATCAAAACCAATAAGGGGGTGCTAGTGTGATCTTAAATAGGAGTGAATATCTTAATAAACTTAATGAATCTTTCAACAATGACGTAAAATACAAGCGCATTCCAAGGCCTACAGAGAATTATGTATTAAAGTATATCCAAACAACAATCAAGTTTTGGAAATTAGTGATTGGATAGATGATAGAACATATAAAAAAATTGTACCCTAATGTATCGCAATTGCCAAGAGCGTACAGATTCCCCCAAATACACAAGGACAATATACGGATTTGATTGGTTGTGTCATCACTAGGTAATGCCATTTACCTAGTGTCAAAATACCTAGTACAAATATTAAAATTATTATTAGCAGATGATTACATATACACGGAAAAGAATAGTTTTAAGTTTATCAAAAAGGTGATATCATGATATCCTTTGACATAGAATTTATGTTCCCTTCAATTCCGCATAGTTTGATTTCCAGCACTTCAAATCGGATTCTGAGTGAAACACTAATTGCTCTACCGTTCCTGAGTTCAGAAATAACGAAACATGTATAATTTTTGCTTCAGAATAACATTTTTAAATTTAACAATTCCTACTATCAACCAATACAGAGGTTGCCAATAGGTGGCACATGCAGCAGCGTCTTATCAGAGATTATTCTGAGGTTGATTGAATCTGTTCTTCTAAAAACTTTAAAATTTAAATATTTTGCAAAATACATTTATGACATTTTCCTAATTTTGAATAAAGGCAAAGTCCAGAATACTATTGTTGCGATCAAAAATTACCACCCCGCTATAAATTTCACAGTAGAATACAAGTCTAATGGTTCGATTAATTTTTTGGACATCACTATAATACATCAAGGAAATACAATAAAAACAAACTGGTACACTAAACCAACATTTCCGGGGTTTAAACTTTTTGTCTAACCATCCTAAAAAAATGAAAATTGCCACAATGTACAACCTTATAGATAGATCCAGGAACTTCCATGAGAACAACTTACGGAAAGTGTTTCATATACTGAAGCACGCCGGATATCCACCAAGGTTCTGTGAAATGCATGTGCACAACAGATTAAAGTCCTTTAAAAAAGTTCAATATGTTCAGAAAAAGGAAGAGAAATTTCCAATTGATTATTCTGATACTGTTTTTAGGTATGTTTCTTTGAAGGTAGGTAGGTTTCTTTGAATTTGTGAGAATTGGTTTCGAACAAATACCAAATGCATGTTTTATTTAAGCCAGTCAATCAGGGTACTTTCATTAGAAATGTAAATGATAGGTTGGATAAAGTTGAGAAACCAAATGTAGTTTATAGAATGAATTGTTTGGATTGTGATTATGCGTATGTAGGCACAACATCAAGGAAGCTTAAATCTCGTATCTCTGAGTATGTAAGAAATTAACGATTGCCTCTTACTAAACAAAGTATTCCATAAGTGATCATAAAAATAGGCTGAAACGCAGGATAGATTTTGACAACTCTGACATTTATGAGGTTGAAAATAGTTATTTTGGTAGGCAGACTTCATATCATATCACTTCATATTGAGACCAATGCTACCATGAACTATCAAACAGATTTGAATCTCTTTACTAAACTCTATGATACTACTTTAGACCTTAGATAAAATTATAAGGTTCAATTATCCTTCCCCTTCCTTCCCTTCATATCCTTTATAGTTTTCACCTACCATTCACCCTCCACCTCCCTTTTTCTTCCCCTTTCCCTCTGTTGAGCTCTGGCCTCAGTCTTATACAAACTAGCACCTGGCACGCAATGTCCCTAGGAATGCCACCCATAACAATTGTTGTGGTGTTGAGTATGCCTGTTATGAAGCTGATTAAGTGATTATTCATTAAATCAATGCCTTTTTGGTTCCCCCGTGTCCTAATGTTGATGAAGGTGAGTCTTCCGATTACTATCTTCTGCTGTTAGCCTCCTAATCTTCATTTTTATCAAGTTGTTACCTCGCTACAGTGTTAATGTATAAACATAAATGCATTGTGTTACTTTTAAATTATAATCAATATTTTTAGTTAATTTGTCTTTCTAAGCTATTTGGTAATCATTACTTTGATTTCTTGAATTCTTTGAATTCTTAATGTCTCGATTATTTTACATTCTAGTTATGCAGAGCTTTGATAGTTCAAAACATGTAGTGAAAAAGGATGAAAAGGGAACAACTCTGCCCAAATTTGACATTGTGTACTAGTGTTATTTACTTCTTGTTAACTTTGTCTACTACACGGATGAAGTCGAATGAACTGAATATGTGTTATTAACTTGTTTTTGATTCCTTTTTGTAGTACAAATGTCTGTAATGCAAAGAATCGGACAAAGATATGTAGATACAAGATTATGGTTGGAAACTTCATATAAAAAAGTTACACAAGTTACATTTGCCCCGGACCTTTAGGCAATTGCTATGCATTGGAGTTTGCAGGTACTTGAAATCTCAGACCTCAGACCAAGTTCTGGCAAACAATAGTGCATGGAGTTCCAAAACATTCAGGGGCAAAAGTCTTGTGTGTATGTTGATATATGAAATCTTCCACAATAAATTCATGGTCAAAGTTTATGATCATCTTTGATTCCTCCACATGCCCTAGAACATTGTAACATTTAATTTGAGACTCCTGCAAAGAATATTAACTTAAATCTTACTTATAGATGAACATAAACATGATTATTGAACAATTATAACAACTTTTCACATACTTACAACACCATTCTCATCACCAGGCATCCACTGAACAATTGCCTCACTATTTTTATCCCAAAAATAAATATTACCACAGTCTGATCCTGATACAACAAATTCACTTCGAGGTCCAAAAAAGCTTAGTCCTTTAACTGCAACCAAAAATAAAATAATTCAATCAGTATTATAGAACACTAAAACTTCATACATTTAAAACCATTCTATTTAGATATAACACATCACTCTAGCCAAAATGAATCAAAACACACACACGCACGCTCACATGCCCGCCTACCTGTTATTTACAAAATTATTACCAACATTATTTAGTTAGTAGTTTTTATTATTATTATTATTATTATTATTATTATTATTATTATTATTATTATTATTATTATTATAATTTTCCTGTATGCTTGTAAGCAACTGCCCAATCTTTTGGGGAATGTTGGAATTACTTTCTGCCCTTGATGAACCATGTGCAACAAATAATAAACTCATTTGAAAAGCTAATGATTTTATTTAATAATGTTAATACTTATGTTAATATTTATTTCGAACTGTGCATCAAAAATATAAGACAAAAGACCAACCTCCTTTGACTAATTATTTTGCCACAATGTAAATATGTAATGGTTTTCAATTGTCTTAAAAACTACCTCTTACATTCTAAAGCCTCAATAACTTGGTAATTCTCAAGGAAACTTTTTTTGGTCATATTGCCAAACTGTTAAATATCCTTACTATTATATCAAATTTATACAGAAGAATTTCATCTTGAAATAAACAGTACACATTTTATAGAAATTAGACAGTATTCTTTTAAATCACTATTATGTTTTATTTCTTCCTTTTACATTCAGAGCTATTGACAGTGAAGTGTCTTTCTTCAAATTATAATGAAGTTTCCTGGTGACTTTTTAATTACTCAACAGGAACATATATGGAGGACATTTTCTTTCATTCTAATTGTTATACAAAAGACATTTTCATTTAAGACCTTGTAAAATATGTTCATTCTTCCAACTAATTTACATACACACAAGAAAAACGTATTTACCAGTAGCACTGTTCCTATGACCTTCGTATTTGTGAACATATTCCGAACCATTAGGATTTCGAACATCAAACAAATAAATATCTTCATCATTATATGATCCCATAACTTCAGTACCATTATAATTAAATACAGCACATGTGACATGTGCTGAATGTGATGTGGAGTTCTGAAATATGCAAAACAAAAGCAATATTTTAGGTTAATTATTTAAAATATAAAATTTTGGAATTCTATAAATACCTCAAAAAACGTAGAACTGCTGCATTTCTACCAATTAAATTAAGGTTTAATTTTGTTAATAAATGGTGAAAATTCCTTTTTTCATATTTAATTTTGGTTTATAGAGAAACTGAGTCTCTGAAATCCTGTGTTACAATTCCTCATTCAATGGACAGAAAATACATTATGCCTATTAAGCATTTTTTCTAACTCTTAGTCTAACAATTACATCAGAAGAAAGTAGAAACTGCAGCCATTTCAAAGGAAGTCTACTAGCATAAAGAAAACTTGTATGTGATACTTCATAATATCCTATTGAAGTATTTTCATGAATATTTGATATTTTTTTGAAGATGAAAATAATTCATCAAATGAATAATACACATTAGAGATCCTCTTCAAACACTGCAGGAACTGCAGACATCACATGTTCTGAATTGAAGAATCAAACTAGTGATGCTAAAACAGCACCTTTACCTTCATACAAAATTACATGAAAAGTACTCAAATTTTCGAAAAATTGTAAAAGATCTCATTTCAAAATATATCTTCAAGGAAGAGATATTATTAAGGGGGAAAATCCCTATCTTCGTAAATGTATTTGTATGAAAACACTGAAAAAATTTTGAATTTTTGCAATTTTCGAACAATTGAAGTTTTTAACAAAAATGACACCTTCACCATTCTCTTAAGCATCCTTCATGCTATCACAAAATGTAAACAAAAACGATGCAGCCATTTTTTTTGAAAATTTTGGAAGAGCTTCATTTCAAGTGGGTACCCCCCAATATTCAAATATCGGTTTCAAATTCAAGGGGCCGCAACATCAACCAGATCGATTGGGAGATATCAATTTTATAGAAAATTGGCTGAAAGGTTCAGCACCGCTAGCGTTCTTCACAGAGGGGCAGCCAGACGTCTCGCCGTCAATCGATTTTTCAGTATCAAGGACCAACAAAACATAGATCCTGGCTACACAACTTAGAGGATTTTTCTCCTAAATTTAGCAGCTGGCTTTATTCGTTTTTTCACGCAGCATTACATAACTTTCTCTCTACTGCGTAGGCTGTAGCAAGAAAGTAAAAATTACTCAAAACTCTTAACTTTTCATAATTCAGAGACAAATCCTATGCATATTCTGTATGTATTCAACTAGTGGTGTGACATAATTCCACAGACTTTCTCGTACTACTTTTCTAATTTCGCTGGAAACTGCATATTAACGGTGAGAGATTTTAAAATAGATTACATAAATGTAATTTGTTGCAAAAAATACAGCAAAATGAAGTTTATGCCATATTAAACAGAGCAATTACCACTATCCCCATGGAAAGTTTGAAGAATAAATTTGGAGCCGTTTTTGAGAAAATGGCGATAGAGTTGAGTTTTTTTTTTGAAAAAGCACAATTTTGAGATCATTTTCACACAAAACGTTTGAGTTCTCGAGAAATTTTGTAAGTCATCAAACCCATGCACTCATGAAGAAAAGATTTCATTTGAAGGAAAAATTACTATCTTCAATTTTGTAGTTGTAAGGAAAAAATTCAAACTTTTGAAATTTTACAAAATTTAGGGTTGTTAATAAAAAACGGACTTAGGCCATCTTTACAAGTTTATTTTACTCTATTCTTTAAAAAAAATTTAAAGAAAAAATTTGGAGCCATTTTTGAGAAAATCTTGAAAATCTCCCTGGGGCATCATGTAAAGTACCGCCAAATTAAAGAATGTTTTTCAAAATCACAGCGCTTTAAATCGAGCCAGATCGACAGGGGAATATTTATTTTTGAAAAAAATCCTACAGTTTGTTTCAGCGCTAGCGGTGTTCACGGAGACGGGCGGGCGTTTTGTCGTCAATCGATTTTTCGGTAGGTTTTTTCGGACAGTCACAATGCTGGGCAGAATAGAGTATTTCAAAATTTAGTTTTACGTACATTATTATTATTATTATTATTATTATTATTATTATTTAAAAGATGGATGTTGCTACCATTAAAATTAACTGTGATGGTACAAAAACATGTGTAATTTTTGCTTTTAATTTTTCTTTCAAAACAGCAATTCATGAAGTGTTTTTATAAGATTTTTTCAATACTTTTAGTTACGAAGCACACTGTATCGGTTTAGATTTTTTAACGAGAAATTTCCTTATTTTTCGAGAACATTATTATGCATTTGCATAAAATGTTAAATTCTGTAATAGATTGAAAGCAAATATACTAAGAGTGAATGAAATGTTCTGAGTTGGACATAATTAGTTCCATTTTTTCTCATAAATTATTTGAATTTTCACCAGTTTTTGAAGACCTATTTTTGCGTCTTTTCATTCTGTTTTTTTCAATTTGTTGTGTCTTTAATTGACGGAACGCGTCTCCAAATTCCTTGGGGGGGGGGAGCGCTTCGCGCTTAATCTTCCATTAATTATTTTACATTGTCATATCCGTCTCGTCTCGTCTCGTCGCAGTCAGTCGTCAAGAGGACCGCAAGGAGATAGCATCCTCGCGTACGCGCTCCTGCATCACTACCCTGCGGCCAGAATTGGAAAGGAATTAGGATAAACGTAAGGTTTAGGACACTTCGCAAAAGTTGGACTAGCCCTTGTGAAACAGCCGAAAACTTTCGTTAGAACAAATTTCACATGAGATTGTCCGGGATTCAACGGGAATCGAACAGAGTCCTCCTTGGTGAAAGGCGAACGCCTTTATTCTGACCACCAATTGTGTTTTCGTTTTACTTTCTCGCTACTGCTTATCTAGAATAGAGACATTATTGTAATGCTGCGGGAACTGCGAATTTTCGACAGAAAAACTCTTATTGTTGTGCCGTGGTAACGAAAAATGCACAAATATTGTCCCTGTATATAGTAAATAAGCGAAACCCGACAGACGTCCTGCCCTTCATCTGCCTTTCTCCTTCCCTCCATCCTTCTCAATCTCTCTTTCCGTCCTTCTCTCTCTATCTCTCTTTCCGTCCTTCTCTCTCTCTCTCTCTCTCTTTCCGTCCTTCTCTCTCTATCTCTCTTTCCGTCCTTATCTCTCTTTCCAACCGAGTCTCTCAGAACAATGAAGCCCGCGCGGAGCGCATTGAATGCAAATTAAATTAAATGAAGCACAATTTTGTTCTGCAGTGCCATCTAGTGGATCTACAACGAAATTAATAGCACATATACTTTCTGAGTGAAATAAACACGTACAAGTACCAACTTTTTTGGAGATCGGTCACTGGGATCGAAGTTAATTGCAATTTATCTCATGGTGTTGGAGTACAATATACATAGTGAGTCACGTAACTTTATCACCTCCTATAACTCTTGAACGATAGAAGTTATTGCAGTTTTCACGCATGAGGGAATGGGACTAACTGATACGTGTGCTCATTTCTATTTTATCACTTGTATTTTACGAGATGTGATGTAACATTGTTTTGTGTAGGTAATTGCGTTGTCCTGCTGGAATTGAGCAAGCCCGTCGGGATGTACAATGGACATGAATGGGTGCAGGTGACAGGATGCTTACGTACGCGCCACCTTTCAGAGTGGTATCTAGAAGTATCAGAGGTCCCATATCACCCCAGCTGTACACGCCCCATACCATCACAGAGCCTCCACCAGCTCGATGTCCAGTCCCCTGTTCACATTCAGGTTCCATGGATTCATGAGGTTGTCGCCATACTCGTACACGTCCATCCGCTCGAAACTATGTGAAACGATACTCATCAGACCAGGTAAGGTGTTTCCAGTCATCAACAGCCCAATGTCGATGTTGACGGGCCCAGGCAATGCGTAAAGCTTTGTGTCGTGCAGTCATCAAGCGTACACGACTAGGACTGCGGCTCCGAAACTCCATATCGATGTCTCGTTGAATGGACACTTGTTGACGGCCCAGCATCGAAATCTGTATGGTTGCACTTCTATCATGTGTAATTATTCTCCTCAGTCGTCGGTCCCGTTCTTGCGCAATCTTTTTGCGGAGCAGTGATGCCGGAGGTTTGATGTTTTACCCGATTCCCGATATTCACGGTACACTTGATAATTGGTCGTAAGGAAAAATCCAAATTTAGTCGCGACCTCGGAGATGCTATGCCTCATCTCTCTTGCGCCGACTATAACACTACATTGGAACTCACATAAATCGTCATAACCTGCCTCTGTAGCGGCAGTAAATAATCTAACAAGCCAGACTCCGGTTGTCTTGTATAGTCGTAGCCGACCAAAGCTCCGTATTCTGATTGGTTCCAGATCTCATTATTTCAATACGCATGGCTGTACCAGTTCTTGGGCTCGTGTGTGTGCGTGAGTATATATATGTATGTAATGACGGCACGACTAAATGTGAGTTCAGAGATGCGAACCTGTCTGACTTGGCCCGCAAAGTACGGCGAGTTCTAGACGATGCTGTCGACTGGCCGGAGAGGGGAGGTATTCTTACGTCAGCGACGACAAAGTTGGTGAGGAAGAAATAACAAGAGGGCAGTACAAAAAAGACCCTTTATCTGGGCAGCGGTGTGGAATGATGGTGTTGATATATGCAGAAAGTATCGGATATGTGATTTTGTTCTGTAGAGAACGTGCGAATGATTCGTATGGCGCGTGAGGGCCTGTCTTCACGATGGAATACCTAGCATTTTGCATCTCTCGGTCGTGGCGCTAGATGTCGCACGATAGTGGCTCGGTACGATAGCGAGCATGCGACATCTATCGGCACTACCGAAAAAAGACGTGAAATGCCGTGAGATATTCCATCGCGAAGACAGGCCCTCATGTGCCAAGAAATAAAAATCCAAGTATAGTTAAAAGTATTCGTCGTGTAGTTTGTAGATTATTAAAAAAAAGTAATTTAATATATGGTTTGAATGAACTGTAATAATACTCATAGTTCGTTGAAGAATTCCAAGTTTCTCAAAGTGAAATACTAGAACAGTTAGCAAGGCAGTTATGATCAAGTTATTTGT